ATTAATTTTGGAAGTTGCATGAAATTTATTTATTTATATATTTACATATGTGTGTGTTCTCATATATAGATTTTTCATATCGTGGTACTTATTTCTAAAGCAAATGGTGGTTTTTAGTGTATTACTAAAATATGGACATGGTGTGATTATAGAAAATTCTAAAATATGACCATGGTGTGTTTCAAGTTGGGTTCAATAATAAGTTGTGCATGCTTGGTACCTTTATACAAAACAAAATAGTTATTGTAATGATCGAAGAACAAAAAAAAAAACCCGCCAATCCTACTGTTGCTTACTTATGGTTTGGTTATTTGAATTTTGAATCAACATATTCAATATTTCCTACTTGTTTATGAACTAAAAAAATAACATATAAATAAACATGTAAATTTAGCTAACATATGTTTTCATTAGGTTATGACTAATTAAACTCAGCTTTGTCAATCAGATTGTCTTTCTTCCTACATGATATACACTATTGATATGTGGTGTGAACATACGCTCCTGAAATTGAGACTTTTTTTATGTATTTGATAATCTTTCATGGAAAATGTGTTAATAGTACCATGCTTACTTGTACTCGCTTCGTCCGGAATTACTTGTCGCGGAAATGGGTGTATCTAGATGAATTTTAATTCTAGATACATCAATTTTTTGCGAGAAGTACTTCTAGACGGATGGGGTATATATAATTTAGTATTTGAGGTCTTCTTCCTAGAGGCTTGGGGCAGTCGCCCTGTTTTACCCAGGCTATGGGCTGGCCTTGATGGGAGGAGTCCGCTGCTCCTCCTCGCGCCCTCGTGGGGGAGAATCCTGAAGTTGCACGCCAACGTGACCAGGCTTTGGGAGGAGCCCTAAAATGTCAATGTTTCATCGCCACTATCATCAAGCACCATCTACTCCAACGCGAGGACGCTTAGGCATGTTCACTGCCACTTGTCTTCAGTCCTCCGCCTCACCACTTCCACCATGGTTGCTGCTCAGCATGCTTTGTTGACACGATCTCAGCATTGCCAATGCAGGTCGGGCTGGGACCAACCAGAAGAGTTTGTCCAAGAAAGAGGCGGAGGGGAGGCAAAAGTGGCTCACCATGCGATATTAACCCATAGACGAGGCCAGACCCGTTTACAACCTCATGGACAGTAGGCTCGTCAGAAAATAAGTAGCAAAAAAAATGAAAATCTGATTTATTTTTTCTTGGCACCGGAGACGGTGGAGCGTGCGGGCTTTCGGGCATATGGGTGAGTGTGGGTGCAGTACTCAAGCGTCTGCGTTATTACCGTGTTTCTAGAAAAATATGGGGTCTTAAAAATGTTTCGTTTTTGAAGTTTGTTTGAGAGCCAATTTTGTGGTTGGCCCATGTGGCTCCGGCCCACGATCAAGTACGGCCTAGACCGGCCCCCGGTGGGTGGTCACGGTGGCCCAGGGGTAGAACCGTCAAGCCGTGCCGACCAGCCTGCGGCCACCAAGAGCCGGAGGCAGAGAGCAGAGACACAGAGACGGAGAGCGATAAGTACAAGTCACGTAAAGACCGACATGACAAAACTGAAAAGATAGCAGAACATCTCTGAGCTTGACACCAACGCTCGTCACCTGCCTCCGGCACCATCACAGTAGCCACCGAAGAAAACAATGACGAATCACCTTCTCACCCGAGCTCGACGCGGCTCCATCGCTGATTTGCAGCTTTACGGACCTCCAAGGTGGCTCACCAAAAGTGAAGCCCTTACCGTCGAACGAATCAGACCGGGGTAACACCCCGGACACGCCATCGAACTCCAGATCTAGCACCCCACGACGACTAAAACGCCGAAGGAGGAAACCATATCTGCCATCCACGAACCACGAGCCTAGCACATGCTCCGTCTTCCAGATGTCGTCGATGCAGACCACAATCTGCATCCGCTCCTGGACTACCTCCCAAGCTCCGCGCCGACGCTGGAGCAAACGCCGTCACAACGGCGGAGCCCGAGGACACAGGTCCGCCACGAGGATGCCGCCGCCGCCACGCCATCCTTGGTTGAACAGACTGGTTTTCATATCCATCCCCAACCATAGGACCGATGGCCTCGTCAGAGAAGGATCTGAAGAATCTTTATTCAGCGTTGTCATCGCCGCCGCCGAAGCAAAGACGATGAACAACCTAAAAACCTAGACTACGAGAGTAAAGACGATCCACACGTGTGGATCCGGCGGCCCCCCTCACCACCGCCGACCAAGGTCGCCGGCGGAGGGGAGCCGCCAGAGAGCGGCGTTGGAAGATCGGCCTTCCCTGGCGGCGGCTAGAGTTCCAGCCGCCAGGGACGAGATGAAAACGATTACGCTCGATTTCTTTCCAAAGCGTACGAGCCCATTGACTATTGAATCTACAAGTTATCTTTAGACCAACATGGTGGATTCATACGTGGTGCTCCCTGCAATGTGTGAAGGACTAGGATTCGATGGACTTTGGATGCAACCACTAGAAAGGTTGTCGCACTGGAGATGGTTGCACGAGATTTATTCAAGAGACAATAGCCAGAATGCCACTATGAGAAACCGAACTTGCCAAAATACCACTATGAAAAACCAACTTGCCAGTTTGGATGACGGGTGATCAGTAATTGGTTATATGAATGAGTCAAGTAAACTTGTTACCCGTTGGTGTTTGTTGAGTTCTATAGACACTTTGTACATCTTTGTGGATGCTTACTACATTTTTTTTTCATTAAAGATAGCTGTTAATGTTTAAATATTCACACATATTCACTTTGTACACTTTGTACAATTCACCCGCAAAAAAAAATCGCTTTGTACAATTAATATTTAAATGTTCCAAAAAGATTTAATTGTGAATGTTTACAACAAATGTGCCTACAATCAGTTCAAACCCAAATTTAAAACACATAAAAAACACAAATCCATATGTGAACGGTGCTATTTTTGCTTTTGTCTTTGTACACTATTCACCCCGATACAATGTGTATTCACGCACTATACGTACACATGGAAACAGGAGCAAGGAAAGCCGGCAAAGGGGAGCACCAGGTGGCCAGGCCAACAAGACACACCATGGGCATCAAGCACACACAAAACAAAGGTCGATCTTGAGGGGAACAACACAATCCGATCTTTGAGTTCTGTTCGTGCTGCACGATGATCATCCTCCGCGCCATCCTCTTCAGTTCTACCATTATGAAAATCGCCACTCTCTAATCTCTTCTTTTTTTCCTTTTCCATGGAGCTACTGAACTGAAGCCTGCTGTGTATGTAGCCCATGAGGGAAAAAAAGATCTGGAGTTAGATTCAGTGTAATGCAAATCACATACAGGTAAGCTGATTAGCACTTTATGCTTGATAATTACAGAAGCAGAAAACGGAACAGCACATATAAACGTTTTCAAGTACTCCCTCCGTCCGGAAATACTTGTCCTAGATACATCCCCTTTTATCCATTTTGATGACAAGTATTTTCGGACGGAGGGAGTAACTGGTCTAGTCCAGCAACTAGAGTGTGTAAAAGCCTCTTTACAAATCACATATGTGTAGAAGTCTCTTTCTTATATTGGATACGTATAAAAGCACAATCCTGAAGAACATCAGATATTTTCAGCTTTAAAGTCAAGCTATTTTCAGCTTAAAAATGGCAAAAATCACGCCAGAGATCGTTTAGTTCAGCACCAATGGTGTATTAGTTAATTATACATTTGGGCAGTAGCTATACCTCTGTGATTCAGTGTTATACAAAAGACAGACAGGTAGTAGATAACGTGTCTGGTGGCAAGGCAATCACAGATTCACAGGTAGTCCAGCAAGTTTAAGTCTCTTATATTGGATACGTATATGCGCAAATCCTGAAGACCATAAGATATGTATAGATATTGGTAAAACTGGACCTGTTGTACAGGTGACTTGTTCCTACAATCTTATCGAATCTGCACCATGTAGTCTGTAAACTTCTAGGCGTAAGACCATGGGCATGCAAAAAAGGCATCACCTACGGTATTTTCACCTAAAACATGGTAAAAGAGATCGCTTAAACCTCAACATTAGCAGTGTACAAATTATTTACCTCTGGCAGTAGCTATCAATGTCTTGAAGGGGAGCCTTGGCGCAGTGGTAAAGCTGCTGCCTTGTGACCATGAGGTCATGGGTTCAAGTCCTGGAAACAGCCTCTTACAGAAATGTAGGGAAAGGCTGCGTACTATAGACCCAAAGTGGTCGGACCCTTCCCTGGACCCTGCGCAAGCGGGAGCTACATGCACCAGGTTGCCCTTTTTTTAGTAGCTATCAATGTCTTGCGGTCACCTGATCCTTTCCCATATATTTTTCTTGGTTAGCTGAACAGTAACCTTTCTGATGTGACCGATCTTCACAAGATCCTCGTTCGGTTCTTCTCCCTTCCGCCGAAGGCTCTCCAAGAGTTCTTCTCCAGTGTTTACCAGACGTAGGTCTTCAAGGGCCCTAAGGTGCTCGATGCCGTCGGGGAGAGCCTTCAATTCAGGACAATCATCGAACAGCAGCGAAACAAGGCTTGCCATCGCGCCATCTTCTATTTCAGTTTGGTTGAGCTTGTGGCAGCCACCGATCCCTAGGATCCGCAGTTTTGGAAATGATCCTGAGTAGAAGTGCAGCTTCTTCCCTACAAAGGCCTTGAAAAGCTCAAGATGGTATAAACCATGTAACTCTAGCAGACTGAAGAACGACTCCTCGTTGATGTTGGAGAACGACAGTTGCAACCGTGTGAGGCTCTTGAGGTGGGACCAAGGCATGGATGTTCTCCCTGGCTGCCCGTGTAAACCAAGCCAAGAAACGGTCGGAGGTAAACACAGACGTTCCAGCAACACCTCGCCACCCGTAGCAAAAATGTCCAGATGAACAAGGTGTCTCATTTTTGTGATAGCATTGCACAGGTAAGAAGAGTGTTCACTTTTGATGTTGCAAACACCGAATGTTCTTAGCTCTGTCAAGGCTTCCAGTTCATGCAGCATCTTCAAGGTTGCTTCCACATATTGCAGAGCTCACAATGACGTCAAGTGCCGCATGCCATTGGGCACCTTGACTCCAGCACACTGATCAAATTCTAGCCCACCAGTACATGCATAAAAGTACCTCAGCTTGTGAAGCTTTACCACGCTGTTTGGTAAAGATGACAGTTCAGTGTTGTAAGCATCCAAGACCTGTAGGTTTTGTAACCTCCCTATTGCTTCAGGCAAATTCTGAATACCAGTATGTCTAAGGCCCAAGTACCGCAAATTAAACAAGTCAAACACTTGATTAGGCAGCATTTTGATACGTGCACCTTGCAGATCCAACATCGACAGCAGCCTCGAAGATGATAGGATAGACTTGAGCAAATTAATACTGATACGAGTCTCAAACACATGGAGTGCACGGAAATGTGTTCCACAAGATTGACTCAGCTGTTCAATGTTTTCACTCTGGATCGATATACGACGTGTCCCCTGTACAGAGAATGCACCAGATCCATCATAAACTTTTCCAAAGCATTCCTCCCTGGCTTTGTTGAGAGCAAGAAGGCGTATAACATCATGCATCCGGCAGCATTTTAATCGTCCACCACTATTCCTCGCCACTACCTGTAGTAGGCTTCGTTTCACAAGCTCGGTCAAGCATTCCTCTGCCACTTCCTCTAATGTTTTGTTATCCTTTGCTCTGACAAATCCAGCGGCGATCCACTGCCTCATTACTCTCCTCCTCTTTATTTCATAATCTTCCGGGAATAATGCACAGTGCAAGAAACAGTTCTTCAGATCATAAGGAAGGTCCTCTAAGCTGACTTTCAGAATAATATTCACATCGAGGATCACGTTATTTGTTAGCTGAAGCTCTATTTCCTTGTATACATTCTCCCAATCGGAGTATGTTGGTTGTTTGCAGGACAGTAGGCGGCCGATGCAGGCAATTGCAATGGGCAGGCCACTACACTTGCTGACAAACTTTTGAGCTAAATGTTTTAGTCCCTCTGGGCATGTTCTATTTTGATCTTTCCAAAATGCCTCCTTGCAAAATAACTGCCATGACTCTGCTGCTTGCAATGGTTTCAGTTCAAGTACACGATTTCCAGTAGCTAGCAATGCTACCTCATGGATCCTTGAGGTGATAACAAATCGATTACCGCTGCATTTAGGAAATGCATCCCTTATATTGAACCACACATCCACACCCCATACGTCATCCATAATCAAGATGTACTTTTTACCTTGTAGGTAAGTATAGATTACCTCAGTCAGCGCTCTTTTTCCCATGCTGGCAACATCAGCTTTGATGCCAAATTCTTTGGCGATCGTCTTCAACAAGGCTTCAACTTGGTAGCTGTTTGAAACTGTAACCCATGCAGCAGTATCATAGTCATCTTTCACCAAATTGTAGACATGGGAGACAAGAGTAGTCTTTCCAACTCCACCCATCCCCCAAACTGTTGCGACTGTGTTCTGCTCTTCAGATTGGGCTGTGAGACATCCCATCAACAGCTTCTTGTTCTCCTCAATCCCCACAAGATCATCATCCTTTGCAAAATACAAAGCTTGGTCTACAATCTTCGGATGGCTGCCACTGCTTCCTGCATCCTTGTCGATTCCTCTAACCTCGTAGCGCACTTTCCTTTCATCAGCATCTCTAAGCTTTTTCTTAATCTGTTGCAGCTTGAGTGCCAGACGCCGCCATGTCTTGACATGCTTGATCCTCTTCTTCATCTTGGCAGCAAATCCGCCGTGTCTGTCCTCCAGCTTGTAGGTGAACTCATCAACGACATCCTCGATCTCGAAAGCGAAGCCCCTGATCTTCTCGACAAAGATGCCAGTGGTCTCATCGGTGTCCTTGAACCGCTCCGCTCGTTGCAGATAACCCTGCATGCTCTCCAGCTCATCCTTGGCTTCACGGATCTCACCAAAAAGTCCATCAAGGGCAGATGCTTCCTTGAAGAGCAGCGAGGAACCAAAGGTCACCGCCTCTCTTGCTAAGGCCACACCGAGCTTGGAGACCAGCAATCCTACAATTGCCTCTGCCATGGTAGTTGCTTGTGCTTGGTCGAGAGCTCGGAGGTTACAGGTGGATGTGAGTACAGAGTACAGAGAGGTTACAGGTGGTTGCGTTCTTCTGAGTGTTAGGTGGCTAATCAGATAACCAAAAGCTGGTCAGAGTAAGGTGATAGGTTGGCCCAAATAAATTATACGTAGTTGAACAACTAACTTGTTAATCAATGGACTAATTATATACTAGTAGCAGCCATCAGCAGACACCTTCACACACTACCAAGCCTAGAGACGCTTGGAGAAGTAGTAAACAAATGCAAGTGATCAAGAAGGAAATTTCGTCTACATTGTTCTAAACTGGGGTTGTTGGCTTTCGAGTAGCGCACTCGCAATCAAATATACATTGCATCCTAGCTGCCTTGCTGGCATCCAATTTGTCGGGCATTAATTTACTAGGGAACAAGCAATAGATTTAAAAAATTGTCTTGCCATAGGATGCGTTCAATCAAAGTTTTACAGTATCTATCTTCACAAACATCTCAATTTGCCATGCGAAAGCAGGAGCAGGTTTATGTAAAAGAAAATTATTCCTACCAACTCAACATGTCGGTGTAAAATTAAAGACAAAGAAAAAGGACACTCAGAGCTTGTCTAGGCTTCTTTGGAGCATGCCAATTCACAAGTGATTTATTGATTCTTGTTCACGCCATCGTAACACGCACACAGAGACAGAAACTATAACCTCATGTCCCGCAGGGTAACAGGCGGCGTTGGAGCCGAGGTAGAGCACCGCCGCCGCCACAAGCTGCCATCCCACCGTGCCGCTATGGCGCTATGGTCGCTCCTGGCTCCCATCGGCAGCCTCCGCTCGCTTTGGTAATTCTGGAATCTGCGTTGGTAATTCTGGAATCTGCGTCATACAATCAGGAAGAAAAGAGCAAGCTTTGGGGATCAGGTCAGAAAGGTACGGGCATTTTCAAGGGCGTTCATCAAATTAGCTCCCCCGTTGTCCACAAAAACCAGGGTACCCAACGGCAACAGCGTCCCCAAAATGCTACCCTTCCCATGCTCCAGACATTTCGTCGAACAGGTCGCGTGCGCGGACCAGGCGACCACAGACAGAGAGAGAACCCACGCGAGCAGCCGCCACGGAGGAACAGCACGCTCGCCCTGGTCGCCGGTGCCCTCCGCGCACTAGCACGCACGCGCCCTGCTGAGAGTTCGGCACCAGCACGCACGCCCTCGGGAGACATGGCGGAGCAGCGGCATGCCGCGCGAGGGAAACGAACGGAGGGCGGGGCGACGGCTGCTGGCCGTGAGAGGCAGGAGCGGAGCGGCGGTTCACCCCCGTGGGCAAGCTCGAGGCGCAGGCAGCCTGGGCGGGCGTGAGCTCGAGGGCGCCGACGATCAGGGCGAGCACGAGCTCCGGTGGCGGGGGCCCGGCTGGCAGGGCGGCTCCGACGGCCAGCTTTTGGCCCTTCTTTGATAAAAGCCCGCGCTGAATTTTTCTGGCCCTTCTTTGAATCAATGGATTCGGGAACGGGCACTATGATGATGATGCAGGCAGTCTTTGAAGACGTGAAGCAAGCGAAAGAGAATGTTTTCAATTTCAAAGGACCGATGAGGGTCATTGAATGCTCAATCGAAACAGGGCACGGGGCTATTTGACGCTGATGGGCGACTTCTTTGCCCCTGATGCCCTATTCCAGTGACGGAGCCAGGAATTAAATATTAGGGGGGGCCAAAGGACACAGACTTTGGATTACAGGGGCCAAACTACACTAATGCATGTATTATTCTCTAAATTCTGCACTGTTCATTGCTATATTAGTACCAAATCATTGATGTTATGGGGGACCAGGGCCCCTGCTGGTCCCCCTGTCTCTGCCACTGACCTATTCGCTAAAAAAATTAGATGGCGCTTTCGAATGCGAAAGAATGCCTTTGGTCGCCTCTACCATGGCATGGCGTCTGTTTATTTGATGACTACTTCATTTGAAGAAGGATGTCGTAGGAAGGATTGGATCATTCGGTTACCAGAAGTGCACGATCGCATAGCGGATACTTTCATATGGCACGCCCAAAGATTCTTGGGGTGAATATTTTCGGATGTCTAAGAGCACACGCGGAGACACCATGGTCAGATTTGCTATTGCCGTGGTCGGGGTGTTTGGTTCTCAGTACTTGAGAGAACCAACTTTCGCTGACACCGAGAGGCTCTTGGCAATGTCCAGAGCAAGGGGTGGCCAGGTTTGCTCGGATCTCTTGACTTCATGCATTAGAGATGGAAGAATTGTCCAAAAGCTCCACAAAAGCAATATCAGAGTCATGTTAAGAAGCTCACCATCATTCTTCAAGCATTTGCATCACATGATCTAGGTTTGTGTCCTGGTTAGGAAGACGAGATGGTGACGCCTCCCTAAAGATGGAATAAGGTTCTCACCGCCTAGCCATGTCCCGGTGGTGTGTCTAGCATCGTCAGTGGGCGTGTGGAGGTGTGTCTCCAATGGATCTGCCTTTGATGGATTTGCTCAGATCTGATCGTAGTTCGTCTACATTGTGTCTTCAGGACGGATCTTTCTGATCTACGCTACTATTCAACAGTGGTGGTTTCTATTCTGCTGCACTGGTCTTATGGGGTCTTAGCACGACGACTTCCCGACTGTCTACCACAATAAGTTTTGCCCGGCTCCAGTAAGGGAGGGACGATGGCAGCATGCCTTCGGTTCGTTTCAGTGCTTGTAGTTGTCGTTATGTGTTTTACAGATCCGAGTGTAATTTTTATTATTTCTAATGTTCGTTGTACTTCCATGATTGAAGATGGATCGGAAGTATTCTCGCAAAAAATGGGCATGACTACAATATGGGTTACTATTTGGTTGTCAATATCTATCAAGTGTGGCTACCTTTGTAAAGTCCATCTATGATCCAGTTGGTCAGAAAAGGTCTAAAAGACAAGAAGCAGCTAAAAGGATGTGGAAAGGGCATTTGGAGTGCTTCAAGCCCGTTTTACAGTTACTTGTGGACCTGTTAAACTATGTGACCCAAAGACCTTGTCGAAAGTGATGACTTGTTGTATGATCGTGCACAACATAAATGTGTGGGATGAGGATAAAGATGCTTCGACAACTTTTGAATTTGAGAACATGAGCGATCCTATTAAACTTTCAAATTAGAATCCGGCTGTATTTGACAAGTTTATTTAAATACATCCGCAAATTCGGCATCGGTTTTGGCCTGCCGCAGGCCGCCTATTACCTGCTAATTTCAATCTAGTACACAACAAGCCGGAAAGCTGCTTTCAATCGAGTCGATACTTGTGAGTATGGTTGAATTCTGGTGACGCCTGACTTTGTTCCGCCCTACACACTATTTAAGCGAATGGATGATTATATATAAAAAAAATCTTCTTAACTAGTATATGTCTAAATTTTTTAGACTCTGCTCTGGGAGATGCCACCAAACTTTTGGATGGAATCACTTCAAACTAGGCCAATTGGCATGCTAAAAGAGCTCCAACTGGTAGGACTATATGTCTAAACTGTTCGCTGGAGAGTATCCACATGTTGCACACTGACAACAGTGTGTTGTCACACCGATGAGACGTTAGGACTCAGAAGTCTGTCGCCACTCTAGGGCGAGCATACACAATTCATGAACAAGCTATTTTTAAATTTGGCGTTCATTTTACAATTCATGAACCTTTTATTAAACTCACGAACTGGTTTTCAAAATTTGGGAACCTTTTTAAAAAAAATCAATAATCATTTTTTCAAACATCATGAATGTTTTTGAATCCGTGAACATTTTTTCTAAAATTCATGAATGCTTTTTTAAAACAATCCTAACTTTTTTAAAATAACATGAACTAGTTTAAAAAATTACAATATTTTCATGAAAAAATCGCAAACATTTGAACATTTTTTAAATACGAGAACAATTTCAGGTATGTGAACATTTCTTGGAATTAAAAAAATCAAATTCATGAACTTTTTGAAATCTTAGAACATTTTTCAAAATAACGAATTATTTTTTTAAAACTTGGAACATTTCTCAAAAGTGTGAATATTTTTTGAAGTTGGAACTTTTTTGAAATAACGATTGTTTTAAACCCGGGAACATTTAACAAATTCATGAATATTTTTAGAAATTCAGAATAGTTTTTCCGACTCATGATTGTTTAAAAATTCTTGAATATTTGTTGAACTTGACAAAAAAGACCCAAAACATTTTTGAAACATGATTTTTTTTAAAAAAAGTGAACAAAAAAGCAAAATAAAATGAAATAGGGGA